AGAGTGTGAGAGCACATTCATTCACGCACCTAAAGCCAGACCGTTATACTTGTGCAGTTCCTTCTTGACTCCAAACCTAGCAGTGCTCAGACTGAGCCTTAGAGACCTGTAATGGTGATCTGTAATGGGACTTCAGAGGGGACCTGGGATTAGAGCTCGCAGGCTGGCACAACATGCGTTTACGTCCTTAGTGTCCTGCCTCTGAAGGGCAGCACCACCCTCCTACATACACACTTACCCACAGGCTGCTTTTCCTACCTAGACCTTTTTATTCTGTCCTCAACGTTTCCTCACCCTACGTTCTGTTCCTCAGGTTACGTGTTCATCACCAACATCCCTGCCGGTGCCACGGACATCCTCATCATTGAGCGCAGGAAAACAGAAAACATCCTAGGTAAGCAGAGGAACCGGATGGACATGGAGGTCCCAGTTCAGCTGCCTGTGAGGTGGGAGGAGGGCTCTGTGCTCTCCCATCTGTGCTGTGAGAGCTATCTGTGGGCATTTCCTCCAGGGTAGCACAGGGGCACTTCGTCTCTCCATAAACCGAGGCTACCACATCTCCAGCACCACATCCCCAGCAGCCAGTGGCAGGAGGGACATTTGGAAACCAAGCTCACTGTGGGCAGTCCCTGTTGTGAAGACATTTGTGCTCTTGTTGGAGAGGGAAATGAAAGCAGCAGGCACTGAACACTGCTGATCTGACCTCATGCGGCAGATGAATGCTGGAGGGCCTGCAGTTCTTTTTCTATCAGACTTTTCTCAGTCATGAGCTGTTTACTCTCCTCAGCACCAGTAGTGCAGCCCCAGTGTTCTGCATGGAGTATCCCATTTGTCCCTTTTCTCTCTCTTTGAAGCACTTGCAGATGAATCCGGGCATTTCTTCTTCAACGGCAACTCCGCCATTGACAACCCCCAGAACTTCAGGGTAGCTGGCACGATCTTCAAGTACCGGCGGCCTTCAAGCCTGAGCTCAGATGGGTTGGAGTATATCATAGCTCACGGGCCCACTAACCAGTCTCTGAATGCCATGGTATGTGAGGAGCTAGTTTTAGGCTTTCCTATCTTGCCTGTCCCAAAATTGTGAGCCTCCCTCAGACAAAGGGAATATTAACCTGGTTCCCAAGCGAAACTTGAGTGTGTAGGTGGCTGAGGAAGCCAGGTATTGTCGGGGGG